CCTTATGATAATCTCTCTTGAACTATCCTGTTTCACCATACTTCTAACAAGCTTGACTTACTCCCACACTGGGGATTTGGGTGATGGGTTGTGCCGGCGCCTTACAGAAATGGGCGGTGTGCCCCTTCCTATTATAGTTTTTGCAATGCAATTCTCGACAAACTACCATATGATGGAAGTTGCAACTGTTACACTTTGGAAGGTTTCCAGCATATCGATTGGGGGGGGGGGGGGGTGCAGGAATAGCAGGAACAACAACAAGAATAGTAGCAGCATGAACTGCCATAGTTTGTTGCTTCTTTGAGGACTCTTGTGATTATTAGCCCTTTCTTTTGTTCCAAAATTTCTTTTTGTTACCACCTTCTTTGGGTTGCTCAAGGATGGTTTTCATGAAACCTTGGCGAACTCCATGATCCACAAGTGTTTGTGCCAGACACTTAGCACTATCAAAAGCAAGGGGGTTTGCAGCTATCATGTTTCCTTGGATCTGACGAGATAGTCCCCAGATGTACCTTTCCACTTTCTTACTTTCCGGGGTGACCATCCCGGGACATGGAATAGCCAAGTCACTAAATCTGGCAGTGAAAGCTGCAATGTCAGAATCCTTCATCGTCAGACCCCATAGTTATTACTCCAACTTTTGTACTTTTCCCGTTGAGTAGTATTCTGCTAGCATTAGAACCTTTAAGTCTTCCCAGCTCATGGCATTGGCTATTGGGAGAGACAACGACTTGACATACCAATTCCACCAAGAGAGCGATCTATCCATGAAAGTGCATGCTGCAAATTTCATTTTACTAGCTTCAGGGCACATACAGATTTCAAAACTGATTTTGACTTCTCGAACGAGCTTGTTAAAGCAATGACACCTCCTATGCCATCAAAGGATTTGGGTTTGTCATTCGTGAAGTCGTTATAGGAACACTCCCTTGGGTGTCCTTGACATTCTCCATCATTAGAATTGTTGGCACCACTACCCGCCCCACTAGCACCAATTGTGTTGATTTACATCATGGCGACTGCCACGACGGCTGTTACTGCTGTTTGAAAAACAACAGGATCATACTGCGGAGGTGGTGGCGGTGGTGGAGTGTTGTTGAAACGCTTGTTTGATTTATGTGGTGGCATCTTTTTATATAAGGTTTAGAGAGGAGGTGATGATAAGTCCTCTATAGTAGTTATCATTCAGGTGATTTTGAGAAAGATATATCTTAGTTCTAATCGCATCATATACTGACTTTCATAGTGTTCTATTAAGCGATTTACAATAGAAGTCTAGCAATATAATTAAACAATCGCAATTTCAATTTATGAAAGTTATAGCAACACTTTTAATGAGTTTTTATAGTGTGACCCAAACCAGATCCTCCTTTAATCACACAGTGTAAAAAAATTATATATAACCAAGACCAAATAGACCTTCGAATAAGTGATCCTACTCTATGTCCACAACCAAACAAGGAATAGGAAGTAAAGCGAAATCACAAATTCTAAGTCTATAAAATCTTAATTATATATAACCCTAACGTATACACTTAACAATTATAGATCTACTAGCAAGGGTCCTTTGTTTTCACATGACTGATTCTAGTAAGAAGGCCTTTCTCGAGTATTTGTTTATATAACTATCGAGGCCTAAATATTGTTATTCTAGTGTTATAGTGCCATAAAATACTCCTATAGTATTTTAAATTCATGTTTGGTTCTAAAGTTCCTCTTGTATGTAGTGGTTGGTAAGTTTTAGGCTTATTGCAATACCACGATCATTCCCAAACACATGTTGGTCGTATCTCAAATAAATATAGTTGATCAGGCTATATTTATCCCATATATTATTACATAACTATCCAGGCTTAACCACAACGTCCAATTTATATAAATAACTGTGATGTTGTTTTCCTGGTATGTATGCATATTTGTTTACTTTTATAAAAATACTTGTATTTTAAAACCAGACTTTTAGTCAGAGCATTTCAACCTATCGTATTTATAGGTTTATATCTTGTATGGTTTGATATACTTAGTTCACTATAAACAATGCTCTGATACCAATCTGTTACACCTCCAAAATGAAATGGTGGAAACGTTTAGGGGCAAAAGACATAATGTATAATATCACAACAATTGCATAATAATATACAAAGTACAGCAACCATGATATTGATAAAGTATAGTTTTTACATCTATGTTCAAATCATTTTATATTTGACACCAAAATATATAGCAAAACTAAAAGTCATGACTCAATGAAGCTTCGTCTTCTCAAAACTTGTGTGGATACATGTATACTGATTCTCTGAGAATAAAAGTGGTTTATAAAAGAGTGTCAGTGATTAAGTTGGTGAGTTCATAAACATGTTTGTATTTGAAATCCGTCATTGTTTCCTTGAAAATGTAAATGTGTTTTTCCATAAAACCTTATATTTTCTGTTGTAAATGTACTGTACTCTTAATACCCTAAGACCAAAATGTGCAAATGTTGTACAATGAAATAGTATGATGTAGTTTTAGGAAATGTAAGTTTCTCTGTATAAGAAAATAGTATACTGTAGTTGTATTTGTATGAAACTCTGTGAATGTATGTACCTTGTTCCACCAGCTGTACTATAGAATTATGTATTGTAGTTTTGTTATTTAATAAAACTATGTGAAGTTCTTTACGTATTCTTACACGAATTGTATTCTTCAATACCCAATTATGAGTTATTATAACCATGCTTGATGACCTAAGATGGCCTAATACGACGTTCTTCAGGTGTCGGAATTGATATGACATTTGTCACCCAAAGCCTGCCGGCCTAACTGGAGCACAGTTTAGGTGCGGGATTGTCAGTCTCGTATAGATCTCTACACAATTGTCACACTCTCCTTACAGGGGAATCTGATTATTATTTCAGGGCTTTCGTTGGTACTTATATAAGTACTTGAAGTTTGTCTCACAAAGCTATACTGATAGTTACATGTAAAATAATGAAAAATATTTTTGTAGTGAATATACTAGTAATGAATAAACCGTATATGTCTCATAAACTATACCTGTTATAGTTTATAGTGTGTGTTCTACTAGTATGAAAACCATTGTATTTTTAACCAGTTAAAATTTTATAATCATACATCTGTGATAAAGATATTCCATTAAATTTACTCTTTTTTGTTGTGTGTGTGTGACATTCCCAAATTTCTCAGCCAGAAAAAACCGATTTAATATATGCTTTTAAAATAAAATTAGATTAATCTTTTAAAAGATGTTGCGGAATTTGTCCCCAAAACAAAACATGATAAATGTTTATCATACGTTTCTTAAAGAAATATGTATTTTGATTATATATCTAACCTCGGAATGTCATGTTCCGATACAAAGCAAAAGCATAAATAGTACATCATAAACCTCACAACAGTTATTTACAACTACTGGCCTATAATCCAAAAATCTATCTTGATCATCCAAACTATGCTCTGAGTCAACTACCTGTAATATAAAAAGTTGAGTGGGTCAGTCTTGGGAGCGTTGTGAGCATATAGGGTTTTCAACCCACAAATAATAATAAATTTATTAATTTCTTCGACCAAAAATAAATTTATTATTTTCAGCAACCAATAACAACCCTGATTACCCGTTCCCGTCATCCTCATTTTACGTCTCTAAACACCTATCATAAGGGACCTAGCCTAAGGATCATCATCAGGATGGACACTACTACTAAGGGGATTCCTCAGCCATACATGTCCTTAAGGCAATCATGAGGGGGATGGAGTACACCAACGAACATATAGTTCACCAACACCTACAGGTTGCAAGCCTACTAGCGTTCCACTGGACTGTCTAGAAAGGTTTGTGGTCGTCATCTATACTCTGCTAGATGACTAGAACAACGACAACGACATCATCATCATCGAGGCCTCTAATCATTTTATCACACACCAACTATTTCATCTACCCATGTTATACCCAACATATTTGTAGATGAAAATACATATACAGTTTAAATCATTTTAAAACCTATATAAAACATTCATTCAATACCCATCTCAAATTAATAAACAATAAATATACACATAGCATGTATTTTGTAGAAAATACTTCATATCTACGTGTAAGATGATAGTGACTACACACTCACTTGTTTTAATGAAAATTGGGAACTCCTCATTTCTTAAAAATATCCTCTTTCTGATGAAACTGTGGTGGTTTCTCAAAAACCAGGATTCACGCGGATAGAGTCTCGGCTCAAAAATTATTTTTCTCGAGAGCTTCGGGCTCTCCGAGATTTGCGTACGATGCTAGGATGATATATCAGGGTTAGGGTAATTTTTGCAACAAAAGGGAAAGTAGAGGGTCAAAGAAGCAAAATTTTGTAACATAATACGACTGGCTTTGTTTCCTATTTATAGGAGACCGAAGCAGCATAGTACGCGGGGCGTACAACTCAGGTACGCAGGGCATACTGCCTCGTACAAGTCTTCACTAGGCGTAACTTCATATGTTGGGCGTACGAAGTGGATTATCCCGGACGCGTCAAGGCTACGATACGTGGCTCACATGCGAAGGAGTAAGGAGGGTGACGGACTTCGAAACCCTTACACAAAGTACGTTGGGCGTACTCCGAATTTTAAAACTTCAAAAATTCGTAACTTTTGCATACGGGCTCCGTTTT